TTTTTTTTTTTTTTTTTTTTTTAAGTTACATGTGTGCTATTGACATGTGATGGAGAAATATGTTGTAGATAAAATAGTGACAATTATATAGGTGAGTGAGAGTGAATGTTGTTGGAAATATAGATGCACAATGCCATAATACATGCATATGATATGTATCAATAAATGCTTTAGTTTGTTGTCATTCCCTATGTTACTATTTCTAAATCATTATGTATGACAAATATGTACATGTAATATTAAAATTTCAATGTTTAATGATTATTAATTGGATAGTTATAATTTTGTTAATTTTTTAGTGCAATTAAAATTTGTCATTTGTTAATGGTGCAATTGGACATGAACTTTTTTTTTTTTTTTTTTTGGATACGGTGGAGATAGCTTAATAAAAAGAAAAATATAGTTTATACACCGAGGGCTAACTATACAACACCAAACTACAAACTAAGGGAACCAATGATAAAATAATTTTTTTTTAAAAAAAAAAGTCACTCAATAAAAAGAAAAACAGAGTTTATTTATTCACTCGCTTTTTATCACCTCAAATTTATCAATAAATTAATTTTAAAATAAAATTCAAACATTACACTACACAATTTTTAATAAAAACTAATTTTTCATTTACTTGCATATTTCAAACAATGATTAATTAATTTAATATGTTTAAAAAACAACTACTATATTTTCGATTTAATTCATACGCCTCCTCAACTCACAAGTGATATTATATCGGTCCCGCGTAAAATCGGTTTTGATACCATACGAGAAACGGGAGGAACCAATCCCACACATGTACACTGTACGAGGATGAGCCCAGATGAAACCCAAGTAAAGTTGTATCTCAAAACCAGTTAGTGAAAAGATGAGTAACCAACTAAACTTATAATTTATGTCTATTTTTCCTATATAACGACGTGACACAACTCGTTATATTATATTCTAATACAACTATTTAACAATTATAAAATTTAAGACTTTCAACGAAAGCATATTTTTTTTTTTTTGGTACAGGGATCTTCCGGTTTCCGGATCCAAACAGGAACCGACTAATTCAGAATCGAGTCGGGTAGGACCACAAGGGCGGCAAAGCTCTCCCTCAAGAGTTTTAACACTGCTGCATTCTCAGGGCTCGAACACGAGACCACTGGTTAAGCTAGAAGAGATCCAAGCCATCTTATCCAAGCGCTCTTGAGTCAACGAAAGCATATTTAATCGCACTTAAATAGACATGTTAAACAAATTTATCTTTATATATATTGTAATAATCAACATCAACTTACTTGGTGGTAGAAGTAGAATAAATATAATAAATGTACACTTTTGATTTCCAAGCATCTCATTTGGTAACAATGCTTTGGTGCG